CGACGCGTGCCCGCCTGTGCCCAGCTGCTTGCCGGCCCGCTGAGCCGCTGCAGCCACGTTGCAATGCCGTAGCTCGCAGGTGCACTGGGGCCGCACCCGAAAAGTCCGTGGGGGGAAACAAAGACGTTTGGACCCTTCGTGGCAACATACATTGGTCACACTGTTGCCCAAAAAGGGTGACCGATCCAGACCGTCAAATTGGAGACCGATTGCTTCACTGAAGGTGTTGTATAAAGTTTTTTCGAAAATGATACAGGCACGGCTACAACATGTCCTTGATCCTGAACAGTCTTTCGACCAAGCAGGTTTTCGGCAACACACTGGTGTAGAGCATGCTTTATGCGTCTTTGACAACGTTTGTGCCAGGTCTTTGGAATACAACTGCGAAATTTGGGAGGCAAGTATCGATTTACGAAAGGCTTTTGATCGGATACATCATCCAGCACTGTTTCGAGCACTACGGCATCAGGGAGTTTCCGAAGGATTTCTCAAGTTGTTGCAGACATTGTACTTTTCACAGACGGGTTCTGTGTCCGACAGCCGCAAGTTCCATATTGGACGTGGTGTAAAACAGGACGACATCATTAGTCCGCTGTTGTTCAACGCCGGTCTTGAACATGCGATGCGTGAATGGAAAGCATGTCTCAATGACGAGGGCATTCACATTGGAGCACCAGCCAATTTGACGAACATCCGATACGCGGATGACTTGATGTTGTCTGCCAAAACATGGCAGGAACTGGTGCTCATGTTGGAAAGACTCAAAGCAGTTTTGGCAAACATTGGGTTGGAACTCAACGCTGAGAAGACTCGAATTATGACAACCGCCAGTGAGACAAACTTTGCCTACATTGATGTTGACGGCGACATGGTTCAAACACTCGCTGATATTGAAACACACATGCACCTCGGACGAAAAATCCCCACTGATAGCAGATGCTCAGTTGTTGAAGTTGCCCACCGTATCAACGCCGCCTGGGGCAAGTTCAACAAATTCAGGTATGTTTTGACAAATCGACACGTTTCAATAAAAGGTCGTCTACAATTATTCAATGCTGTCATCACACCAAGGGTTTTGTTCGGTCTTGGGAGCCTCCGGCACTCTTTACTACGACACCGCTATATTCACTTTTGTAAAGATGATGTACCTTAATTAGATCCCACCTGTCACCCATGTCCTTATAGGACCGTAGTTTTGACTCGAACGGGCAAGGTGCAAAGTGCAAAGTGCCAGGGCCAGCCACAGCGTGGTCCTTGCAGAGGGTATAAGCAACCTAAGAAGCACTTTAGACGCCCAAAGCTCGCGAACGGCCAGATAAAATGAACGTCGTGGGCCGCGATCTGTCGGGCTGAGAAGCAGCCGTGCACGCTGCAGGCCCGGAAGTTGGGCAGATGACTGAGGACTCGTTGTTGTTTCCCCATCCACCCGCCCATGCTTGGGCACACCTAATAATACCACGAAGCCGCACTGCGGGGTCCACGTATGGCGACGCATTCCCGCGTTACCCATCCTCGCCTTAGGGCCGCATAGGGCCGCAACCCAAAGCGGAGTGGGTTTAAGGGGACCAACGGGTAGACCACAATTTGCTGTGGTTGGAAGGGATGCCGCAAGTACCATCAAGTCGTCCACCCCACCGGCACGTGAAGCAACTGCTCCTGTCCATGCCCATCGCCACGGTACTACGACCGTAGGAAAGAGCAACTAGGAAAGAACAACGTTGTAGAGCGCAGCATTACAATGCGTTACATAACTTGTGATGGGCGGAACGTCCATCACAGATTGGGTGAAGGCCACGTTGAGCCAACGTCCGCATGGAGACTGGGATGACATTCAACCCTACCGCGCGGACGGCCGGCGGGGTGCGAGCTCGCAGTGGCGGGCCGGCTGCCTCACTGCCTGGGCCGAGCGATGAGCCTTCACTGGACCGTGTGCTCGACCTCGCCATCAACGAGGGGCCCAGCCGTTTCCCTCTGAATCGGGACCGCGAGCCGGCGCTGTAGTAAGACAAATGTAGCTGAGAGACTTTCGTGCAGGCGGACACGTCCGTGAACAAAAAAAGAAAAAACTTCCAGACGACGCACCAGGTCTCACACGAAGCGGCCGGCCTGGGCATTCCAGCGCCAACCCACATTGGAATCTAGCACCGTGATTGCAGCGCTGAGCCGCCCGCAGCACGGCACCGCCCACGGCCGCTGCGCATGCTTGAAGTGGCGGGTGCCCCTATGTGGCAGCCGAGCGCATCGCCCCAACTGCCTCCTGGGCGACTTGGCCTGATGCACAATACGAGTACATGACGCTGCACGGCGCGCCCGCGACATCCCGCGACAACCCTATCACCAGACTCACCAGCCGGACGACCCCTGCGAGCTCGCTTTTGCAAAATTTGCAAATGGGGTTCTGCGCGGGTGCAGGTGCCATCGCCCGTACTGGCAGGTCCCGCATCGGCCGGCTGGTCGCGTTGTGAAGGCAAGCTGACCGCGTGTGCGCGGCGTCGTCGGGACTGCCGTCTCGCACCGTGCCGTGCTTTCGACCATGACAGACCTAAAGGGGCGCCAACATGGACTCAGCGCGGCGATTGTTGGCACCGGAACGGCGTTTGGTTTGCGCCTGCCTACCACAGTCAATTAATAGGCCTTTGGTCGCCATACTCCCACTCTGTACTTCGACATCTGCCAGGTCGCAAGGTTTTGATGAGCATGGTTTTGCTATGCAACTGGGTTGGTGCTGCATGGCCTCCTTGGCGGACAAAGGTGAAAGTTGAAATTTTAGGTAGGTTGAACATTTCTGTATACAGCTTAATGCGCACGAGGTGTTTGATGAAACAACGATGTGTCAGGCTGGAGCTTGCGGATCCGGCGATGCTTTCGAGGCGCATTACTTTGGCAGTTCCAAGCGTGCCGAAAGACGAGTGGGCTTGCTTGCCAGTTTGCTCGATGCCGTGAATACACGCGTGGCACAGCCCTGCACAACCAACGAACAGTGACCTGGCGGCAGAGGATACGGTCGCACATGCAGCTTAGGTAATGGGGGCTCATGTTTGCTCGCAGCCTGCAGGCTCATGCCGCAACACGTGGCCAACGTTTTATACTTGGCAGCGGCGGCGACGGAGGCTTCGCCGAAGCCTTGGGCATGTGGCCGTACGGGTGCTGTGGGGCTGCAGGCAGGTTCGCCCTTGTTCGAGACATTGTTGCCGCGGCGTGCTTAGTGCGCTTGTGCTGTTATACCGCCGTTGTCGACAAAGATGTCGGAGGCATGCAAAGGCACGATTAGCGGATTTCGCTCCGCGTGATCTTTGTAGCTTGGCATGGGCCGTCCGCGCCTCATCCGACGTTCAATATGAATTGCACGAAATTCATGCATCCAACGGCCCAGGTCGCACGTTCACCGATTCAGCAGTTACCGTTGCTGTGGAGCATTTCCAACGAGGCTGCATGCCGTGAGCGTACGGGGTGCAATTGACGAGTTTATCCTTCGAGTTCCCGGTTCGTGGGATCTGCGGGCCGCTGGTAGTCAAGATCGGCATGCGCAGACTTCGGTTTGAGGATGCCAATGCACTGTGGGCTTGTCCCATGAAAGCAAACAAGTTTTCCAGCGCATTGCATGAATGTTGCTTTCAATATTCGCCAAATAATTGCGTCGACATGCAGGTGCTGGCGAAGAGGCACAACGTGGAGCCCCTTGATTTCGTGAACATCATGTTGTGGCCCCAATGAACAGTGTCAGCTGCGATGCTGGAACAAGGCTTCAAAGCGTTTGGACTCAAGCCAGAAGAACTATTTGTGTCGAGGCGTGCAAGTGCGGAAACGTGCTTGGACTCTGAGAAATTGGCGGAGGAATTTGGGGGCAACGGAGCTTCAATGTGTGGTGTTATTCTCGCCGGCACAGGCATTGCATGAAGCCTTGGAATGCCGGCTGCCGGACATGAGGTTCCAGGACGATTAGATGCAGCGTTTGTTTCGGGCGGTATCGCAAGCTCACGAGATCCGAGTTTGCAAGAGCAGTAACATACCTCGCAGCAGGAGCTTGGCCATTGGATGTGGGCACATTGGAAGGTGTCAATGCTGAGATGCATGGAGTTTGTAGCCCCTTCTCTAACAAAAGGTAACACTTGCCTGTGCGATTACTGTCGCGTCCGTCGGTTTCCTCGCAGACTGGAGTTGCAGGTGGGCATGGCCAACCCCAAGCTAATGGCCTGTGCCTCATGCCCCAGTCTCCACGACGGCGTTCTCACGTTGGAAAACGACGGAGGCCACAATCAATCGACAAGCAGCCATGAAGGCCCGGCAAGACACATGCACTCGATACCATTTGTGTTCGGATATACCGCCATGTGATAGTTTTGGCGCAGCCTTTGGCCGTTCGAGCCATTGCGGCTCAAACCACGACGGCGGAGAAAAAAACAGAAACATGCACTCCTCGCTGAAACATCCGTTTTTGCATGTGCATGCGGAGTTGAATGCATGATGTAAACATCACGGAATTGTTGAAATCATTTATTCGTGCGGATCACCCCTCCAGAGGCTTGCTTCCAGGCTCATGGCGGCAGCTAGTGCTTTGCCTTTGTCCAATGCCGAGCTTCGCGCACGCCTATTGTCGCAGTGGTTCACGCCGGACCAGGCGAAACAGATTGCCCAATACTGGTGAAGCATGGCGTCTTGGGCTCCTTGAACAATGATGCAAGGCACTGCAGTCAGCAGGGCTGCGAGATCGCTGGCGGTCGCTCGGATGATCGCTGTCTGCTCGCATACTCTTGGCATCTTTTAGATATAGCTTAATATAGCTATGCTTGACAACAGCCGAGGCTGACTGAAGCAGAGCTGCGGGAATTGTTTGAGGCGGAAGTTGAGGCAGGGCGCTCGCCCACACCCCCCGAAGCTTCGTCCAGCTTCAGTGTGCCGTGTGCCATGACATATGGAAGAACGTAGTGGGTGCTGCTGACATCGGGCAGGCAACATCATCGCCTGAACAAGTTAGTCTCGAGAAGCAGAGGACATGACGGGGGATCCGTGTATTCCTTGCTTTGCTTTGGACTCTCGATCATTCAAATCTAGCCGCAACGTCTTTTCAAGAGTCATGTCGTGGTGGTATTTGTCGTCATCGCAAAGCCAGGGCAATATCGGCTGCTGGCCGATGGCGTCTCAGAGTTGAGGCCAAGGGCCGAACACCGTGTTTGGCCCTGTAGGGCCGTGCTGGGACAATCTGGGCCATGCTGACAATGGCTGTTCGAGTTGTTCGAGGCCGGTGTCCAGAGACTTTGTGCACAGCTACAGAAGCAGGCCAGTACTGCCAGGGACGTCGGGGCATATCGGGGCTGTGACTTCCAAATTACCGGATGACTCAGCAGGATCCGGACAGTGTGCTTCCGATGATTCCTCGACGGGAGCTTCTTTTCGCCCTCTCGCATTTAGTCAGAAGGACTGGCACAGGCAATTGCAGACGACGCGTTAGTGACAGGTGGACTCTCTCGCTGTCTTTCTCCATCCAAGGCAAAGTGCGCCCCGGGAAGGCTTCCGTGCTTGGGCGGCTCGTCGGTGCACTGCAGACGACTGGGAAGAACTTCGTCACGCGGCGTACAAACATGGCCCTTTTCTCCATAGCATCTTGACGGTACTCCTGCAGACCTGTGTAGACTCTGTAGACACTGTACACCATGCAGAGGCCCATTGATCACCCATACAGGCACCCGTTAAATAGCCTCAAACTATCCCATCATCAAACTTCTGCAAGGACATACGGGGCCGGCTTCTGGATACCTCGATCTCGAGTCCTTCTGCGAGATGGTTGTGCTCGAGGCTGGCCACATCGACGATGCAAAGGAGCCCCGACGGCCGCAAATGCGCTGTTCCTTGCGCAGCGGGTCGCTGGGCTTCGGAGGGTGCCTACCACTTCCTTTCAGTAAGCTACGCATCACAATGCCCCATTGGCAGGAGTGGTTCCAACATTTGAAGGACCTCAATGATGGTTCTACCTGCATATCGTTCCAGCCTGAGCGATTTTTGTTTGCTTTCCTATTAGCTCCGCGATGCATACCTTGCCAAGGTATGCACTCCTACACCAGACAGCAGTATGTTGCCCCAAGCTGCCGGGTGCGGCAGACTCTGCTGCACCATGGGAGCCCATTGCACTTCAGCTGGACATGGATCGAAAGCTGAGTTGCGTCTAAGTTTTGCGTGCGAAGTTCAGCCCAGGAGCTTTTACCGAGACTGCTTTCAGTCTGGACAGATTTGACCGAAGCCTTCGGCTGGGAGAGACAGGACTCTTCGGCATTGCAGCTCAGCCTCAGCCTCTGATTAGTAAGGGCTCCCTTTGCCACAAGTAGTGGAGTTGCCGCTCTAGAACAGCTGGTCGGCTGGCAGCGTCTCGGGAAAGTTGATGCGCAGTATCAACCAAAGAAGAGACAGACAACACCGGAAGAACAAAGCCAAATGACCTTGATTCAACAGGCATGGGAAAGGCAGGCCGAGGAATGGCTTTGCGCACAGTCTGATGGGTAAGCAGGGGGGATAGAATGTGTGTAGGTTGAGCAGGTACGGGTTTGGACTGTGGTGGGTACCAAATGCTTCGATCTGCTATGCGCAAGCAGCCAGCCTGACTGTACCTTTCCGCCTGCTCGCAAGGTCTCTGTCTGTAGAGGTTTATAATATAATATAGAGACGGGTTTGCGCCTGACATGCCTGGGATGAAGTCTTCTGCTCGTGCAGGAACTCGGCGATGTCATCCGTGACCGTCAGCAGGATGAACTGACGTGTTTTGGCCATGTAAATGCCTCTTGCGAGTGAACGGTTCCAGACAGCCAGATTTACTTGACATGGCAGCCTGGCAATGTGCATAAGGCAGACCACTCCTCGGGTCAGCCACCAGCCTTGGGCTTGAGCTTGGCTTGGTGCCGTGTGCTGCGGGTGCCGGTTTTTTCAGGCAGTGGCTTCGCGCTCTGCGTGGAAAACAGCCTGAGTGGCCGTTGCTCAGTGCCTCGGCCCGTTTAGGAGACTCGGAGCGGAGTTTCAGGTTCTCTCTACAGGTGAAACGGAGGCGCAGGAGGAGGCCCATCGCCTCGGGGCGTTGGGGCTGACGGCCGGCAGGCACGGACATGACTGCAGTATTAGGATGTGCCATGCGTGCCATGCATTCGTAGCATGCGAACCCGTGCGTCAGAAACCGGCTGCTCACTTCAAGCAGGCTGTTCCCAAACCTCTCCGACAGACTTCAGGTCACCAAGAGCCTCAGCCTGGTATCGCGCGCGGGTATACGACGAGAAAGGTAGCTGATGCTTTTGCCTGTGCTCAGGAACCTCTTCTTGCCTGGGGAGCTTATCGTGGTTCGATACACACTGAGCGCTGGACTCAACCTCGCCGGGGAAATGCCTACAGGTTGCTGAGAATTGCTGCCTAGGCGACTTCGGGCACTATGGAGTTAGTGGACCGTCGCCCATGGCGGCTTGAACCGAAGCGCTTTTGTGCCAGTAAGATGCATGGAGAGTCGCTTAGGTTCTCGGCCCGGACCTGCCCTTGGGCAAGGCGCCCTTCGTCGCTGCCGTGCCAGCACAGCCGGAGCTCGCGGGCTTCGAGGTGCGCCACAGAGAAGATACAAAACTCTTAGTTTCCTTCCATGCGACTTCCGCAAAGGAAGCCTGGAGCCGCAGTGCTCTGGACGTCTCGCTGCCGCGGGGAGCCGTCCGCCTGAGGGCTCCGGGTGCTCTGCGGGGTACCTCCGTGCCCCGGAGGAAAAAGCCTTTGATATTTTTCTTGCTTGCAATGTTGCTTCCTCCTGCGACAGCCTGTTTGGGTCGTATTATGTAGGCTCTTGTGGATGAGGCATTCTGGCACCTGCGGATCTTCGCTTCGGACGATGGGCGCACCCCAACGTCTGCAGTTAGTGCACCCCTGCTGATTCAGGCAGGGCCTCCCGTTGGAAGTCATGTGGATAGAGAGGAAATCGAGATGGAATGGGCATGATTACCCGACCCTGGTCGTGGTCCCGTGTCAGGTGATGACAGTACCTCCTGCACCTCCAAGTGAAGTGGTTGCGGAGGGCAGGGACACGTCAATTTCCTTTAAGTGGGCCGAAGCTCAAGCCCGATTCAGTCAGAGGATTTATTCAGTAATGCCTAGCGGCCTAGCAGGTATCGTTTCCAAGATGTGCCCAGGAATGTGCTCAAAATGGCGGTGCTGCAGTTGACAGATACGATATAGCTCTCCGGTATGCGGAATCCTCCAAGCTGGCATGGCAACTTGGGCGCGCATTTGCTGCAGGCATTCTGAGCTGAGGCACGTTTTAGGTCATCATTCCCACTCCCTCTAGAGTCTTTCCGGCACAAATTGAGGACTGGACATGCTCAGGTGCCTGAGCTGCATGTTGGGACTTCTTGGCTGTTGGCCGCCTATCACAAAGACCTTGGGGAAGCACGATGGCCTTGCAAGGAGCCCGTGATTATAGCCACATCGCTGACCCCAGAAGCTTGGCTTTTCTGCTTGCAACACGTTCTTTTAGCTGTGCAGGCGCATCGGGGAAAAGGATTGTTGTGTTCATTTGCATGAGGATTGCGACTACATGGTTCAAGTTCGTGGGGCGAACCGACACTCGACTCGGTCTGGCGTTCTGATCTATTGCAGGATTTCGATTGGAACTCCCAATGAAGGCTTCCGTCGAAAGCCGTTGCCAAACGAGGTGCCGGCTGTGGCCCCTGGAGCCCAGGGTTTGCTGCGAGGACGGCGGCGCGGCCACCTGCTCCGCAGGTCCTTGCGGCCCCGCGGCGTAGGAGATTCGAGAAGGGGGCTGCGTCCGAGAAGGGCTGCGTTCTTGTGCTGAGGTTGGCAGGGACACCGTGCTGCTCAGATTGCCTGTTGAAAAGGCAGGTTCAGTCACGACAGGGACTGACAGGAAGCATATCATGTTCAAGGTTTGATGTTGCTGTAGTGTTGATGAGGCAGGAAATCTGACCGGCTATGTGGTGAAGGCTGTATGCTGCACGCAGCGAGCCTGGAACCGCATCGAACGTGTCAGTGTAGTGCCCGTATCCTTAACTCCTAGGACCGGCGAGCCCGAGACCTCCGACGACAGCGAGATCGTGAAAAGAAGTGGTCCAAAGCAGACAGCCGCTTGATGGGACCGCACTGTACTTCCATCCTTATGGGCGGGTGTCACGGCCCAGCAAGCATGGAGCTGGACGCTGCTCGTCACATGCTGCTCAGCTCAGGAAGTGCTGCTGACTGGCCTTCTTTGTGCAACCAGCTATCGCTTATGAGCCACGGCTGCTAGTTTGCTGTCGCTGCAGCGTCACGTTTGTCAAAGGTGTTTTGACTCCTGTTGAAAGCTGAAACAATTCTATCTTCCGTGTTCATGGCTTCGGTTTGCAACCCCATGTAGTTTCGAATGTTCAGCAAGGTGCAGCCCGTCTGAATGCCAGTGACCAGGGCCCGTGGAGCACGTGCATCCAGGACTGATGGCTGACGGAAGCTGGCTGTGCATTGGCGCACACACGTGCATGCCAGGTTCGCACCAAGGCTGGGACACCCCTCCCTCCGGAGAACTTGACCTGTTTGGCCTCTCGGTGTGGCATAGAGCCAGTGCTGCTTAGTTTCATTTGAAATATGCAATAAGTAAGGAATCCAGGCAAGAGGAGCTCTGTGTCAGCTGGAGCCCACCTTCGCGTGACGGCCCTTTCCGATGCATTACTTTTTCTAACGTGGACGTGACTTCTAATGAAAGACTGAAGTGCCATGTTGCTTTTCAGCCATCACCAGTCTATGTGAGGTGGGGCAGCCATTTGCGGCTATGTCCTTCACGCAGTTGCCGGACCGGGCAGCAAAGACGGCGTCGTCTGCAAGGCGTCTCGATGGAGTTCCGGGGATCCACACAGCATTTCCTTAACCAGTGACCCGACTACAGAACAACAAAACCGATTGCATAAGCAACACATGATATGTCGCACGACGAGGGGTGGGATGATGGTTAAGGTTACCTTAGGGTCACGTTAAGCCGGGCCTTTAGTTTTTCAGGTTAGGGTTGCGGTGTCTGCGAGTTTTCCTGAGCAAAGTATGGAAGCGCAGTCATGAGAGCTGAACTTCTGTAGGCTCAGACATTCAGGCGATTGCACAAGTCCTGATGCAAAAAGGTTAGGGTAGGGTTGGGTAGGTTATGGGTTATGGTTTAGGGTACGTTGCGTTTGGGTCATGTTAAGTGGGGGAGGTTAAGTATTACGGAAGAGTATGGCAGGGCAGGTTAGGTTACGTAGGGTTTAGGACAGCAGCGGTGGGGCTTTCTGTTGTTTTGGTTGCTTAACCCCAGCTGATTCCGACCTTCCGGGTGAGACTGCAGAGCGCTCTTGCTCACAGATGCGGTATGAGTGCGGATAAGTGATCTGCCTCTTTTGGAGCATCGGTTCGAGGCGGAGAAGGTGACAGCAAGCTCACCGGCCTGGCTTCGCGGCCTTGCAAAGAACACCACGTACAGCTCCTTGCCTTTTTGAGGATTGGGAGCAGGGATGCATGTTGCGATGCGCTGCAGTACAGGTGTCGCAGTGGCGGCTTTGAGCGCTGAAGGAAAGGGCTGCTTTTGCAAAGCCGTGGAGGCCCTGGGAGGATGAAAGGAAGCTAACAGTCGAGAGCATGCGGCAGGTCAGGTGTTGTGTAGACAGCATGTTGGCAGTTTGTGGCCAGCATATCGTTTCTTTAGTTGTTATGCAGAATTTTGCAGATAGGCTGGTTGCAGTGGCCACCACCGCAGTGGGTGGTGTGGTAGGACCAGACGGTTCGTCAGGATTCCTTCAAGGTACAAGAGAGTCAAAGTTGGAGGCTACATCCAAGTGTCGCAGGTAGCACCAATTCTACTCTCTGGGCATGCGAGGCCACTCATGAAAACACGCCCCCGGATGCATCGCACCAAGGGTCCTTGGCACAAGCAGGCTCGCCAAGAAACCTCCTCTTAGCAGAGGCCATGGCCGAGAAGCGGCAGCATGTGGTTTTCCTGAACTTTCCGGGGACAGGGCACATGAATCCAACGCTGCCCTTGGTTGCGGAGCTCAGGCAGCGGGAGGTGGAAGTCACTTATTTCGTTGATGAGCCACTGCGTCAGGTGGTGGAGGCTGCAGGAGCGAGCTGGCGATACATGCAGGACCCCATGGAGATGAACGAGGAGCAGATTGCGCATTACGTTCCAGAAGGAGCTCCCAAGGAAGACTATGAATTCCCCATGTCCGCGGTTGCTATCGCAGCTTCAGTTTTGCCTTGTCTCCTCTCGGAGCTGAAGACTCTGCAGCCCCCTCCCACGACCATCATCTACGACCCGTTTCTGCCACAGGGCCTCGTGGCTGCCAAGCAATTAGGCATCCCTGGCATCGGCTCTGTGACCCTTACCGGACCTGGGGTGGTAGCACTACCACCGTTCCTGATCGACAGCTGGGAGTCCAAAGTTGCAGTCTGCCGCGGCCGGCAGGAAATCAAGGACTGCTACGAAATCGACATCTTCGAGCATGGCAGCTTTCTGGAGTTCTATTCGCCGGACCAGAATATTGTTACGACAGTGGATTCATTGTACATGCCTCCAACCACTCCGACACAGCTCACACGCTTCGGCCACTTCCCATTTCGATGTGTTGGCCCACTGCTCAGTCCGTCGGTGAAAAGGATATCCCATGCAAAGACAGCTGCCACAGAGACGACCAGGTTTCCATGGGACCAGCTGGAGGCTGCATCTGCTTCTTCCAAGAAGGTGGTTCTGATCTCCATGGGAACAGTTGCCACCTCCGCCTTTTGGGAGAAGCCCTTTGGCCCCCATGCAGGCAAGAACGGATTGCAAGATACTACAGGCAAAGAGTTCCTGCAGTTCGTTATTCGGAGAGCTTACGAGGCCTTTCGGCATGCCGAGCACATGTTCGTGATCTTGGCAACCGGGCCACACCAAGATGCCCTAGACGGGCTTCCGGAAGTTCCAGGCAACTTCCTGTTGCAAGACACCGTTCCACAGCTTGAGCTGCTTCCAAGATGTGATGCTTTTGTGACCCATGGCGGTGCGAACAGTATGCACGAGGCTCTGAGTTTTTCGGTGCCGTTGGTTGTCGTTCCGATGTTCGGAGACCAGCCCGGCAATGCAGATGCGGTAGCACAGCGAGGTGCTGGCTTCGCCTTCCGCAATCCGCTTGAGAGCCTTACTGCTCAGGCACTCCGGTCCTCCGTAGCTCAGCTGCTGGAAGGAACGAGCAGCTTTCGTGCTACGGCCGAGGCAATTAGTGCTGAGATCCGCCAGGCAGGCGGTCTGCCGCTTGCTGCTGAGCTCACTTTGGAGACGGCCGAGCTCCGCTCTTCGAAACTCGGTGGTGCATAGATAACACTTTTCCAATCAAATTCGTGCATGTCCCAGCCTGTTGTACAGTGAGCTGGGCAAATCAAAAAGCCCCCCTCAAGTGGACGGCCGCTGAAAATGCCGGGGGCGTGTATCTAGGATTTCTGCGAAGTCGCTGCAACTTCCCTTCCTGTGAACGCCTCAGATGCGAACGGCTGCCGCACGTCCACAGCCACCAAGACAGCTGGAAGTGGCTGATGCAGATGCGGGCCACCTGTTGCTCAGGTGGAAGCCCTTCTTCAGCCAATTGATGCTCTCCATTGGTCACATGTCGAGCCATTTCGAGCCTTATAGAATGAAGGTGGGCTCCTGGCTGCGACGACGGCGGTGCGCCAATTCTCGGGTACCGAGTCCAGGCAGTTGCCGCCGCGAGGATTCAACTGCAGGGAACCGGTTGCAGTGGAAGGTCATGCCCTCCAAGCCACATGCAGCGCTTGAGCTCTACAAGCCCGCAGGCGAGGATTTCGAAGCAGAGTCTGCTGGTTTTGCCTTGCGACTTGTTCTGCATTGTCATGAGAGGCGGCCATGGAAACACCGATGCAGACGTTGGAGGTGCAGACGAAGGCCACAGACGGCGGCTGTGTTCGTACGTTGAACATGTCAGTTGGAAGTTGCCGGCCCTGGTATATCGCAATCTATGCGTACGTGGCATGATCGTGTAAGTATGGTTGTGCATGCATGCATGTATGCATGCACGCATGTATGTATGCAGGCATGTATGTATGCATGCATGCATGTATGTAATTAGGTCCAATGTAAGTGTGCATGTGTGTTCGTACGTGTTTACTTGTGTTGTATGTGTATATGTACGTGTGTGCGCATGTCTGTTAATGCAATTGGGAACGCACACAGCTCAATGCAGAGGGCAAGTGCGAGTAGTTGGTCAAAGGCGGGCATAAGCTGGGTATCAGGAGAGTTGATACAGGCTTACGCAGTTCTTGATCGTTGTGCTTCGTGAAAGCCTTTGGGGCTCCAGAAGTGCTAGCAGCAACATGCGCAGCAGCTTCCACTCCTCATCGCGTTTGGTTCCGGTGGCTGTAGGCACTAACAGCAGCCGCGGAGAATCGGACGACTTCGTGGGATCGTTGTAGACCTAGGCCCTGCCAGGCCGTAGCCGAATGCACAAAAGCTTTGCCATTGCAACAGAGTCTCGGAAGCATGGGCGATGCAGCCTTTCTGCAACCGACCGCCTTGCGCATTTCAGCGAATCTCGCACAGCTCGATGGATTTCGATGGCGAGCGGCTTCTGTTCTGCATTCTGTTGCAGGTTCTGTCTAATTAGTGTACCGGTGTTTCTGTTTCCATGTTCGTGATTTTGTGTCGACGCGGGAGCCGCGAGTGCAGGAGACCCGCGGCTCAGTAGGTACCGGAAGGCCGCCTGCATTGGGACATGGGCGAGGATGCGGCAGATGTGGCCTTTCCAGTCGCCTGGTTGTGGCCACGTTATTCGGATGGTGGAGCAGGAGAAGACATTGTGTGTCAACAATGCTCCTGGCCAAGAAAAAGGGCTTTCAACCGGAAGAGCCCAAAGAGGTCGAAGTTCTGGATACCGTCGTCGTCACGGGAAAAAATGCTTCTGATTCCTCGGGAGATGCCGTGTTGCCCGAGGTATTTACTGAGGACATGAGAGACCTGCGGCAGGCTGCAGAGGACGGAGACCGGGACGCGCAGTTCCGCTATGGCAAGGCCTTGCTGAAGGGCTGGGAGGGCCAGGAGGCGAACCAAGCTTCGGCCGCCGAGTGGTTGCTCCGGGCCGCCGAAAAAGGCCAAAGAGCTGCTCAGAGCGCTTTAGGAGAGATGTACTACACCGGCCTTGGCAGGCCGCAGAATAAGGCGGAAGCTTTCATGTGGCTGAAAAGGGCAGCAGAGCCTCCTGTGCCCGAGGCCCAGTTCAACCTGGGAGTCATGTTGCAAACGGGCGATGGAGTGGAGGTTAACAAGAAAGAAGCTTTCAAGTACTATTTAGCTGCAGCCCAGGCAGGTGTGACACGTGCCATGAACAATCTAGCCTACATGTACCGGGTCGGCGACGGAATCGATGCAAGCAAGGAGCTCGCTTTAGAATGGTACATGAAAGCCGCAAAATCTGGAGACATGGATGGCCAGTATCACGTGGGCGAGATGTACCACGAGGGCGAAGGGGTGAAGATAAGCAAGCGGAGGGCGGGAAGATGGTTTCTAAAGGCTGCTCAACAAGGCCGCAAGGAAGCTCAGTATAACGTCGCGATGATGTTCCACTTCGGATGCTTGCTCGCACTCGGCCCGCAGTCCGTCAGGGCCGCTGGGACAGTCACGGTCATACAGAGGGGGGTTTTCTTTCTTGCAGCCTTTTGCCAGGAAACGGATTGGCGGCAGATCGGGAGGCTGCCTCCCAATGGTACCGGAAAGCAGCCGAGCAGGGTCTGATGGAAGCCCAGCGCCCTGCATACACAGGAAAGTTATTAAGCCCCGTTTCAGCCTTCAGGCAGCAAACACCTGTCTAGCCCAGGTACAGTCTTGGTGTTATGCTGGAACGGGGTGAGGGGATCGAAGTGGACAAGGCTGAGTCTGCCAAGTGGTACCAGAAGGCAGCTGAAGCAGGCCACATTGCTGCCCAGAACAACCTGGGCGCTGCCTACTACCTGGGGGAAGGTGTTGCTTGAATTCGAAGCAAAGGCATTACATCGTTAAAGCATATTAAAGAAAAGCGTTTTCATGATTGCTTTTTCTTGCGCTTGACCGTGCTTTTCACCTCAGGTTGAGGAGAACAAAGCCACAGCAGCGATGTGGTTTGAGAAAGCTGCCAGAGAAGGTCACGCACAAGCTATGAAGAACTTGGGCAACATGCAACATGCTGAATTGCGCATGCTTTGCTGTTGCCATGTGCTGCCTGGCTTGATCCTGACCTGCCTGACCTTTTGATTCAGGTATCGTGAAGGCGATGGTGTGCCCTTGGACGAGGACAAGTCGGACTACTGGTTTAAGAAAGCTGGCATGGGCGAGCTGTATGTAAAAGGCAAGAAAGCACGGAATTTTTGACAGTTACAGTTGCAAGACCTCGCGCGAGAAAAATGTGAAAAGGCGTTCTCTCGGGGAGCCTAGCTACAACTCGAAGCTGAGAAGCAGCACAGATGACTCCGCTGTGCACATGTTGGAGATTGACTAACGGAAGGCGGAAGTTTGTCCGATCTTTCAAGCCTTGGCATGAACGTGCTGTTTTCTTGCACGCTTCAGACCTCGCCCACGTTACTGACATGTTGCATCTTGGTATGTCAGACCATTGTCAGGCACACAGCTGCTTCTACCGCCCCTGCTTGCTGCCACAGAGTGCCTTGGTCGATTGGTCGTTTCAGGCTTGCATGTTCTGAGAACAGCTGCATAGCTTCGGAGACACAGCCTTGGGCCATCTCGGCCTATCTTGTGCTCGCCACATTCGACGATGATGTGGACGTCGGGCGAGGATCTGTGCAGAGGGGCCGGTTTTGGACCGGCATCGCTGAGTAACGTTCATAATGTAAACAGCTGGAGTCTAATGTGCACGGACTCGGTTCGAGTTTCTAAGGTACACGCTCCGAGTTTGCAGCACGAACTACATGGGCGACTCCGAGGGCGCGGCTCTGGTTCTGAAGACGAAGCCTGGCACACCAGGCGATTGGACGTGATTCTGCTAGTATTGTGCAAGCTGATGAGCAAGCTTCTGCAGAATCTTGTGTCCTGCCAGCTGCACCGAAGCCACCGCGGTCGCGCTGGCCAGCTGGAGAAGGACCACTCCGTCTAAGCTGGCGAGCACCAGAGGCGGGGAAGACAGCTTGACCTTGCATTCATTTAACTACTGCTCTACACTCTTCTTTCTTGTGGAGGATGGTGGAAGCCCGGTAGTGGAGTACGAGGCATGTGAAAGCGACAGTGTGTCGACGAGAAGCAGGCCCCAGCACATTTGCCTTCGACGAGGTTCTCGTGGCAGCTTGTCAGAATGAGTCGGAGATTTTGGCAGCCCTGCACGTGCAGCACACAGAGGTGAAGATTGCAGGTTGGCCGCAGGGTTTTGATGTCGCTGGCTCGTACTTCAAAGCTAGAGCCGTGCAGTTCGACATGGGGAGTAGCTACGGTGCTGCGGCGATTGCTTTGGTTGGGGCTCATGTCGTTGTAGGAGCAAGTGTGGGGTTGCTGCCAGGACGACTGCCATAGCACCAACCCTGCCATCTTTACAAAAACCGTCATACGACGTCAACGACGACGATAGCTCCCAGCTGTACCACTCCTACTCTTACTACCCCTAGGACCACCAGTACTAGCCCTCTTCCTCCTCCCACTGCTCCTGCCACATCTGCTTCTATTGCTGCTGCCACTGTTATGATCTATTCTGCTGCTGCTGTTACCCTGCTACTCTTGAGATTATGACTTCTAGTTAGTGCAACTGCTACTAATACGGCTGCTACCACCACCACCCCACCTCTGCAACTACAACAACGGCAGCTACAACGAAAAGAGCTGCTGCTGCTACTACTACTACT